ACAGGGTCGTCTGCAGTACGGGGGCCCCACAGGGAACGGTTCTGGCTCCGTTCCTCTTCACCATCTACACTGCAGACTTCTCCCACAATTCCACCCAGTGCTTCCTGCAGAAGTTCTCTGATGACTCTGCAATAGTCGGCCTCATCACTGATGGGGACGACAAGGAGTATAGAGGACTGACCCAAGACTTTGTGGACTGGTGCCAGCTGAACTACCTCCAGATCAACGCCAGTAAAACCAAGGAACTGGTGGTAGACTTCTGAAGGCACTAAACATCCAAGGTATGGACATTGAGACTGTGGACAGCTACAGGTACCTTGGTGTTCATCTGAACAATAAACTGGACTGGACTCATAACTCAGACGCTCTCTAAAGAAAAGAGACTCATGGTGTGGGGCAGAGCAGGCTGTACCTGCTGCTGAGGTCTTTTGGAGTGAAGGGCCAACTCCTGAAGACCTTCTATGACTCTGTGGTGGCCTCAGTCATCTTTTATGGTGTAGTCTGCTGGGGCAACAGCATCTCCTGGGCCACCACTGTTCTAGGATGCCCTCTGGACCCAGTGGAGGTGGTGAGTGACAGGAGAATGGTGGCTAAGCTTTCATTCCTGTTGGACAACATCTCCCACCCCATGCAGGAGACTGACAGCACTGAGCAGCTCCTCCAGTGGCTGCGGCACCCACGATGTGGGACAGAGAGATTTCACAGATCTTTCTCTCCAACTGTTGTCAGACTCCTGAACAAAGACTTCACAACTGACCAAACACACACATCCACACATGCGCAATAACACTAAGTGTAATTTTTTTTTCCGACAACATAGTATTTTATTCTGTTGTATATAGTATCTTATTCTCATTATCTTATCCCAGTCCGTTGTTTCTCTTCATTTTTGCTGTAACTTGTACTGTCCACTTTCTGCTGTGACACAACAAATTTCCCACATGTGGGACTAATAAAGCTTATCTTATCTTACATGTGAGCTTTTAATGAAACCACAAAAAAGTTCAATGTGAAGATTTGTTTTATCAGTTCTCAGGAGGACGTGTGAATTAAGGAAATGGAAAAAAATACCATTCTGACCAGGTGGAGACCAGCAAGAAATTATAATAAATGAACAATACAAGGTGTGTGGTTATCTGATGTTATTATGATCATTATTATTATATCATAATCTTGTTTTCTAATGTATTCTGATTATGTACAGGGGTTTAGACTTGTTAGTTCGTAGGGTTTGGATTCTGTGCTCCTTCTTTTTAGTGTCTGCCCGTGTGTTTCCTCTGTTCTCCGTCTGTACCGTGTCTTTAAATCCAGTCTATGTATGTCCTGTTTTATTTTGAAGGTCCGTATCTGATGTCAGTGTGTTCCGTGCACCCTCCCTGGTGATTCAAATTCAAATTCAGGTTTTGGCGTTGTTTTATTAGTTTTCCCAGTTTAGACTCTTTCTTGGTTTTGTTTCTTGCCACTCTCGCTTTTGGTCGTATGTCACCCTCCTGCAATAAAGCTCACTCACATCTCAGCCAGTGCCTGCGTTTTGGGTCCTTATCTCTCCTAAACACATCTTGTCCCGCAAACCGTCACAGTGGGTGGCGCCAACTTTCACTTTTATCGGGAATACCTTGATTGTATAACAAAGACTAATTTCCTCGTTTAATAGGCTTCTAAAAATGAAACTTAAAAAGCGTAAATAAAAATAACCTAAATAAACCTAAACTATCATCTGCTGACAGGTGACGTCACACTTGTTACTGATCATGCTATAATATTTTGATACCAGTATTCACTTCTGGTGGAAACAACTGCTGCAGCGCTGACTGCTGACAGGACACCTCCTGATCATGCGCCGTTCGGCCACATATTCTAGAACCAGAAGCACTGTTGAGTCTGCTATCGAGGTTTGAACAGTGTTTATAGTCCAGCTCCACCAGAGGGCGCTTTCACACAATCAGATGTGCCTATGGTGCATTTACAGAGTTTTCTTTGAAGACAATTTCATAATTATGCTTACAAGAAACTCCAACACATTGTACATAAAGTCAGTTTATTAATAAAGTTTCCTCCAGATCACCAAAACTTCATATGGATCTATTATAATAAGAGTAGATCGAGAAGATTAAGTGAGACCAAAGTTTATTGAACCTGCAGAGAAACCAGATCACTGCTGTGGAGACGACAGCACACTTAGAAAGTGGTGAAGTTACCATAAAAAAATCTTTATGGTGCCATTCTTTTTTTTCTTTTTCTGCATCTTTATATAAAATAAAAATCTCTCCATTTGAATGTTCTGCCCCTCAGTGAGGGTAACTTTATGAGGAGAACAAAGATAAAATAAACTAGTGTGTTTTACAGTGGATTTGTGGACCAGTTAGAGAACAGCAGCTAGATTCCAGAGGGTGGACTGGTGGACCACTTCAGTGATTAGATGACATTTGGCTCTGCCACAACAACAAAAAAAAAATCCACACACAGGAGGAGAATACGAGCACAAAGCCAAGCTTCATTCTTCTCTTTATAAACAGCATAGAATGAGGACATGTCAGCGAATGCATCACAGTTAAAATAATTTAACGTTCTGCTTTTGATCATGTGACGTATTTAACTTTTTTACATATTTTCTGCTGATGTGTCAGATCACACAGCATCTGCATAGACATGCAGTGTTATTTTCATACATTTTAACCACAAGATAAATTTTTAGACAAACCATTGTAAGACAGTTTACTGGCACCAGAATATTTACTCACTGCAAAAACTCAAAATCTTACCAAGTATATTTGTCTCATTTCTAGTCAAAAATATCTCTTTACACTTAAAATAAGACACATTAGGCTAAAGAGTAACAATTCAGTGAGATACAGTGGGATGCAAAAGTTTTGGCCACCTTATTAATATTAATTGTTTTCCTGTATAAATCGTTGGTCGTTTCAATAAAAAATGTCAGTTAAATATATCATATAGGAGACACACACAGTGATATTTGAGAAGAGAAATGAAGTTTATTGGATTTACAGAAAGTGTGCAATAATTGTTTAAACAAAATCAGGTAGATGCATAAATTTGGGCGCTGTTGTCATTTTATTGATTCCAAAAAGTTTAGAACTAATTATTGGAACTCAAATTGGCTCGGTAAGCTCAGTGACCCCTGACCTACACACACAGGTGAATCCAATAATGAGAAAAAGTATTTAAGGGGTTAATTGTAAATTTCCCTCCTCTTTTAATTTTCTCTGAAGAGTAGCAACATGGGGGTTTCAAAACAACTCTCAAATGACCTGAAGACAAAGATTGTTCACCATCATGGTTCAGGGGAAGGATACAGAAAGCTGTCTCAGAAATTCAAGCTGTCTGTTTCCACAGTTTGGAACATATTGAGAAAATTGAAGACCACAGGCTCAGTTCAAGTTAAGGCTCGAAGTGGCAGACCAAGAAAAATCTCAGATAGACAGAAGCGACGAATGGTGAGAACTGTCAGAGTTAACCCACAGACCAGCACCAAAGACCTACAACATCATCTTGCAGCAGATGGAGTCACTGTGCATCGTTCAACCATTCGCACTTTACACAAGGAGATGCTGTATGTGAGAGTGATGCAGAGGAAGCCTTTTCTCCGCCTACAGCACAAACAGAGCCGCTTGAGGTTTGCTGAAGCACATTTGGACAAGCCGGCTTCATTCTGGAATAAGGTGCTGTGGACTGATCAAACTAAAATTGAGTTATTTGGGCATAACAAGGGGCGTTATGCATGGAGGAAACAGAACACAGCATTCAAAGAAAAACACCTGCTGCCTACAGTAAAATATATGGTGGTGGTTCCATCATGCTGTGGGGCCAGTGCAGGGACTGGGAATCTTGTCAAAGCTGAGGGACACATGGATTCCACTCAGTATCTGAGTCATCTCAGTCCCCAGACCTGAATATTATTGAAAATCTGTGGTGTGAGTTAAAGAGAGCTGTCCGTGCTCGGAAGCCATCAAACCTGAATGAACTAGAGATGTTTTGTAAAGAGGAATGGTCCAAAATACCTTCAACCACAATCCAGACTCTCATTGGAAGCTACAGGAAGCGTTTAGAGGCTGTAATTTCTGCAAAAGGCGGATCTACTAAATATTGATTTCATTTTTTTTTTTGTCATGCCCAAATTTATGCACCTGCCTGCTTTTGTTTAAATAATTATTGCACACTTTCTGTGAATCCAACAAACTTCATTTCACTTCTCAAATATCACTGTGTGTGTCTCCTATATGATATATTTCACTGACATTTTTTATTGTAACAACCAACGATTTATACAGGAAAATAATGACTGATATTGATAACAAGGCTGTCAAAACTTTTGAATCCCACTGTATATTAACTTGTTTTAAGACAGTGAATCTAGTGAATTTCAACCTAAAATATCTTGTATTAAGTGAAAAAATCTGCCATGGAAACAAGTGAAAATTCTCTAGTTTCTCTCTAGTTTCAAGATTCACTGTCTTGAAACAAGTTTCTGTATCTTACAGAAATGTTGCTCTGTAGCCGATTGTGTCTTATTTTAAGTGTAATTAGATCATTTTGAGTTGAATATTTCCAAGCTTCAAAATCCAGAAAAGAAACGTTCTGTTTCCTCTGGATGGCTAAAGGTTACTACAGAGCATTTTGTAATAACTTCTGCTTTGAATGGCCTGTTATGGTCCATTTGTCTTAAGGCCGAGTATAATATAATTGTATGAACAGCACAATGAAAATCGTCCTCCAATCCCTGACATATAACATGCTGATACTGTTTTCTTGAAAAATGCAACGTATGTTTATCTGGAATAAACATACTTTGCATTTATCTGGATGTCAGTTTAAACAGTAAAAAGAAGCAGTGGCAAAGTGATTACATGCTTTGCAGTTCAATCAGCCCCAGTTTCAACTTTTTTGATTCACAGGCTTCCAGATAAAGGTTTATAAGTGTGAAGTGAGCTTTTATCTGGTAAAGAGCATGAGTCATAGCGTGTGGGTTTTTTTCAGCTTAGGTTACCATGATGGCTGGAAAAAAGGGTGAGCCGCTTGTCTCTGTCCATAGTCAAAGATAAGGAGCTGAACCTGGGCCTTCTTGTTCTGATGGTTGTTTGTCCATAACCGACGTCTTCAGTTCTCACTGCTGAGTAGATCACCGCTGAATCGCACTCTGAGAATAAAACATATTAGATTACTACATTGTTTGTTTACCATGATGCTCTGTGACGAGATTAAGTGATCATTTTTATAAACCACAGCAGCTTTTCAGTGTTCTTAACACCTCAACTGTGACACAGCTTTGACAATAGAGAAGTGGGGGTGTTTCTGTGGAAAAGAAAACTGGACGACCACAAAGCTGCCACCTGCTTTCAGTGCAGATTGACTCTCTTTACTATAGAGCACATAGCAAACACTTGTCGCAGCCTGAACACTATTTTAAAAATTAAATCTACTTTGGCTGAATTTCTGTGTGCAGGATTTAGAGAAATGCTTTTCCAGATCATGTCTCCATGTCCTTGGAGATGTGTGTTTAAAATGAACAGCTCTGTGTTGAAACAGCTGCAGCTGAAGTGTTTTCTTTCTATCAGAAACAGGATGCTGGACGACTGCAGAGCTGTTAGCTTCAGTTAACCACAGACCACAAACACACAGTCCAGCTCACAGTGAACAACACTCAGTAAGCACAGAGTGAAAGACTAAGTTTGCACATTTTAGGTAAGGCGAATTCATAACAAAAGTATAGTGGGGCAAAAAAGTATTTAGTCAGCCACCGATTGTGCAAGTTCCCCCACCTAAAATGATGACAGAGGTCAGTAATTTGCACCAGAGGTACACTTCAACTGTGAGAGACAGAATGTGAAAGAAAAATCCATGAATTCACATGGTAGGATTTGTAAAGAATTTATTCGTAAATCAGGGTGGAAAATAAGTATTTGGTCAATAACAAAAATACAACTCAATACTTTGTAACATAACCTTTGTTGGCAATAACAGAGGTCAAACGTTTACTATAGGTCTTTACCAGGTTTGCACACACAGTAGCTGGTATTTTGGCCCATTCCTCCATGCAGATCTTCTCGAGAGCAGTGATGTTTTGGGGCTGTCGCCGAGCAACACGGACTTTCAACTCCCGCCACAGATTTTCTATGGGGTTGAGGTCTGGAGACTGGCTAGGCCACTCCAGGACTTTCAAATGCTTCTTATGGAGCCACTCCTTTGTTGCCCGGGCGGTGTGTTTTGGATCATTGTCATGTTGGAAGACCCAGCCTCGTTTCATCTTCAAAGTTCTCACTGATGGAAGGAGGTTTTGGCTCAAAATCTCACGATACATGGCCCCATTCATTCTGTCCTTAACACGGATCAGTCGTCCTGTCCCCTTGGCAGAAAAACAGCCCCATAGCATGATGTTTCCACCCCCATGCTTCACAGTAGGTATGGTGTTCTTGGGAAGCAACTCAGTATTCTTCTTCCTCCAAACACGACGAGTTGAGTTTATACCAAAGAGTTCTACTTTGGTTTCATCTGACCACATGACATTCTCCCAATCCTCTGCTGTATCATCCATGTGCTCTCTGGCAAACTTCAGACGGGCCTGGACATGCACTGGCTTCAGCAGCGGAACACGTCTGGCACTGCGGGATTTGATTCCCTGCCGTTGTAGTGTGTTACTGATGGTGACCTTTGTTACTTTGGTCCCAGCTCTCTGCAGGTCATTCACCAGGTCCCCCCGTGTGGTTCTGGGATCTTTGCTCACCGTTCTCATGATCATTTTGACCCCACGGGATGAGATCTTGCGTGGAGCCCCAGATCGAGGGAGATTATCAGTGGTCTTGTATGTCTTCCATTTTCTGATGATTGCTCCCACAGTTGATTTTTTCACACCAAGCTGCTTGTCTATTGTAGATTCACTCTTCCCAGCCTGGTGCAGGTCTACAATACTTTTCCTGGTGTCCTTCGAAAGCTCTTTGGTCTTGGCCATGGCGGAGTTTGGAGTCTGACTGTTTGAGGCTGTGGACAGGTGTCTTTTATACAGATGATGAGTTCAAACAGGTGCCATTCATACAGGTAACGAGTGGGGGACAGAAAAGCTTCTTACAGAAGACGTTACAGGTCTGTGAGAGCCAGAGATTTTCCTTGTTTGAGGTGACCAAATACTTATTTTCCACCCTAATTTACGAATAAATTCTTTACAAATCCTACTATGTGAATTCATGGATTTTTTTTTCACATTCTGTCTCTCACAGTTGAAGTGTACCTCTGGTGCAAATTACTGACCTCTGTCATCATTTTAGGTGGGGAACTTGCACAATCGGTGGCTGACTAAATACTTTTTTGCCCCACTGTATATGTGTATTGCTATGAAAACATCTTCTCCTACCTTTGCCTTTCAAAATTTTTTAGACATTTCTTCTTTCCCTTTTTTTATTATACAGGTAGAAAATATTTTCAAAATCCAAAATATCGCAATACTGCGATATTTTCACAGACCTTCAGTCAGTGAATTGCCACCATACTGTGGTGGAGGTATTTGTGTGTCCCAGTGATCCCACAGACTGTGTTGTCAAGGACTGTTAGGGCTTCCTAAGACTGACTGGACCAGAGTGTGTGTTCAGACAAAGAGCGACCCTCTATAAGAAGCAATAAACCAAAGGACCAGTTTACCCTCTCTGGGACTGGGTTACTAGGACCCACCCTGGAGCCAAGCCTGGGGAGGATGCTTAATGGAGCACCTGGTGGCTGGGCCATAGGCCATGAGGGCCAGCTTCAAGATATGTGGAATTTTTCTGTCAGTCGTCCACCCACAGGAGCTGCCATATGGGCCAGGTCTAATGTGTGGTGCAGTGAAGTGTGGATGTATACTCAGCTGTTAAGTCTTGCAACTGGGACATGTAACTTCACCTCTTGGAATATTGTTCAATGCTACAACCAATTCAGTCCATGTAAAACAGTTGGAATAGCTCTGTGACAAAGGGCCCAAGGTCTTGGGCTCTTTGTCACAGATGCTCTTCATAACTGAGGGCTTCATCAGGTGATGTACTCATGCTCGCTCAGGAGCAGTTCACAGCCAAGAGGGGAATAAGAATTAACGCCTCTAAGTCTGAGGCCATGGTCCTCGGATAAGGGGGATGAGTTCAGCCCCAAATGGAGGAATTTAAGTCTTGCTTATGAGTGGAGGGAGAGGAAGAACTACTTTTATGATATTTGGAAATTTCCTCCCAAAGATGTCTTAAAATATTTACAAATATCCTGACGTAAAAAAGTTTGAAACATTGCATTACCTTCACTTTTTCTGATTGGTTGTTGCAGACACTTGGATATGTTGATGACACTGCACGTGATGTCAGTGATGATGTCATCTTCTCCATTACCTTGATCCGATAAAAATTAAACAATAATATAAGTTCTGTAAACAGAGATTACATGTAAGAAAGTTGTTACTGTGGTCATCATGAATGTGAAATTTATTCTAATAAACAAACTCAGACATGAAGCATCAGGAAGTCTGAGTCTCACCTTCAGGTTTCCTGTGAACACATCGTCTCACCAGCAGAACCAGTAACACCAGTAGAGCCACAACACACACTGATCCAACAGATGACAACACAGAGAGAAGAGGAGGAGAGAGTGATGGAGGAACAGTGATGGAGGTGGAACCAGGAGGAGAGGTGGATGTAGGTGGAGGTGTGGATGTAGGTGGAGGTGTGGATGTAGGTGGAGGTGTGGATGTAGGTGGAGGTGTGGTGGTGTGTTCCCCTGAAATAAAGCAAACACAGTCATTAAGTTGTCGTCACATTGTGAATGTTGAAAGCTGCAGAAACACAGACAGGTGAGTGTGTCACCTGTCACAGTGATCCAGCTGGATGGAGATTCTCCATGACCGCTGATGTCACACTTGTAGAGGCCTTCATCAGACCTGGAAACATGCTGGATGGTCATGTGACCTGTAGGCTGCTTCCTGATGAGGGAGCCATCTTTATAGAAAGCAGCTGGGAGGTTGGAGGGAGTGGTCTTTGTTTTACAGAGCAGAGTGACGTCATCTCCCTCCATCACAGGGAGGACAGGACTCTGCAGGATCACTGATCCACCTCAACACAGAGACAAACTACAGCATTTCATCCATTTACACACAGCTTCATCAACACTAACTCCACACACTCAGCTTACCAGTGACTGTCAGCTTAACCATGTTACTGATGGGACCCTCTCTGGACTCACACCAGTAAACTCCATTGTCCCACGGGAAAACAGTGATGTCACAGGAGGAACCAACTGCCTCCCCCCACCCATCTTCACACTGAGTCCTCTGTTGTTTGCTTGTGTTCCTCCTCAGAGTCCATCCAGCAGAGCTGTCGTCCTCCTCACAGCTCAGAGACACAAAGTCTCCTTTAAAGAACTGAGAGCTGCTGGGACTCACAGTCAGACGAGCTGTGAGGGTTAAAATGAAAAACCAATGATCTGTTTATTTTATGAAATCTGACACAATTGTTAGCATGTTTTGCTTAATCAGTTGTTTCATCAGTTTTATATCTGAGATCCATTCTGGAAACATTAACTTAAGTTAAAAGCAATAAGAATAAACCAAAATATTTTAAGTTTGCAATACATAAAACCATTAATAACAGAGGATTACCAGCAGGTAAAATAAGTAAAAATAAGTACAATCATTTCTTCAGTAAATTTATTTCCAAAGATGCTACTGACACCAGGTGTGGGTGACAACCGATCCACACACGCAAAGAAATCAAACCGTAGAAATCCATAAATTGTGCGTAATAATGAGAAATGACAGAGGAAAGGGAGAGAGAGAGGTAGAAAGGCATGGGCAGTCATGAAACCAGCTGAAATCTATAAATAATTAGAAAGCAATCCTGCCAGTTAGTGCAAATTAATATCAGCTGGTTCACTTCCATATGTGTCTCATTATCAAAATGTCACACAAGAAACATCTCATGATGATTAAAACCAATGAATAGTTCTTATGCAGTGTTTGTTTTTTTACTGTACAGCCGTGGCCAAAAGCTTTGAGAATGACACAAAGTTTGCTGCTTCAGTTTTTATGATAGCAATTTCCATATACTCCAAATGTTATGACGAGTGATCAGATGAATTGCAAAATCCTTCTTTGTCATGAAAATGAAATGAATCTCAAAAATTCAATTTCCACTGCATTTCATCATTCAGCATTTCATGCCATAAAAGGACCTGCTGAGATCATTTCAATAATGTTCTCATCAACTCAAGTGACAGTGTTTACGAGCACAAGGCTGGAGATCATTTTGTTATGCTGACTGAGTTAGAATAGCAGACTGGATGCTTGAAATCATTGTTCTTCCTATTAAACATGGTTACCTGCAAGGAAACACATGTAGCCATCATTGTGTTACATAAAAAGGGCTTCACAGGCAAGGATGTTGTTGCTACTAAGACTGCACCTAAATCGACCGTTTATCAGATCATCAAGAACTTCAAGGAAAGAGGTTCAATTATTGTGAAGACGGCTTCAGGGCACTCAAGAAAGTCCAGCAAACACCAGGACCGCCTCCTAAAGATGATTCAGCTGCGCTATCGGAGTGCCACCAGTGCAGAGCTTGCTCAGGAATGGCAGCAGGCAGGTGTGAGCGTATCTGCACACACAGTGAGGTGAAGACCTTTGGAAGATGGCCAGGTGTCAAGAAGGGCAGCAAAGAAGCCACTTCTCTCCAAAAAAAACATCAGGGAAGAACTGGTATTCTGCAGAAAGTACAGCGAGTGGACTGCTGAGGACTGGGGTGAAGTCATATTCTCTGATCAAGCCCCTTTCCGATTGTTTGGGGCATCTGGAAAAAGGCCTGTCCGGAAAAGAAAAGGTGAACACTACCATCAGTCCTGTGTCAGGCCAACAGTAAAGCATCCTGAGACCATTCATGTGTGGGGCTGCTTCTCATCCAAGGGAGTGGGCTGCACTCACAATTTTGCCCAAAAACACAGCCATGAATAAAGAATGGTACCAAAACATCCTCCAACAGCAACTTCTTCCAACAATCCAAGAACAGTTTGATGAAGAACAATGCATTTTCCAGCACGCTGGAGCACCGTGCCATAAGGCCAAAGGGATACCTAAGTAGCTCAGGGAACAAATCATTTTGGGTCCATGGCCAGGGAACTCCCCAGACCTCAGTCCAATTGAGAACTTGTGGTCAATCCTCAAGAGGCAGGTGGACAAACAAAAACCCACTAATTCTGACAAACTCCAAGATTGATTATGACAGACTGGGTTGCTATCAGTCAGGATTTGGCCCAGAAGTTGAGAGCATGCCCAGTTGAAATGCAGAGGTCCTGAAAATGAAGGGCCAACACTGACTGGCCAACAAACATTGACTCTTTGCATAAACGTGATGTAATTCTCAATAAAAGCATTTGAAACTTTGAAGTGCTTGTAATTCTATTTCAATACATCACTGAAACAACTGACACAAAGATCTAAAAACACTGAAGCAGCACGCTTTGTGAAAACTAATATTTGTGTCATTCTCAAAACATTTGGCCACGACTGTACTCAGAGAGCCCCCTCTGTGTGACTCAGTGTTTTGATGTTTTATTATTAGTTTTACTGGTCTGTAGTTTCCTCTTGGTTACTAGTGTTTGGTTTCTGTATTGCTTGTTCTTAGGTTTTGGTCTCTATGCTCCTCATCTTACTCTGTCTGTACTCTGTCTCTGAGTTCTGTCAGTGTATTTCCTGTTTTACTTTGAAGGTCCGTATCTGATGTTAGTGCATCCAGTTTATATCCTCCCTGTCTCATCATATTTGTTAAGTTCAGCTGTGTCTCTTCTGTGTGCAGTTTCTTCGTTTCCCTCTGTGTTTATTTATAGTGTGTGTTCTCTTGTGCTGGTCACTGGTCCATCTGTGTTTCCTCCGCATGTCTTCCTGTGTTTCTCCATGCATGTCATCCCATGAGTTTAGGTTTCAGTTTAATTTGTTAGATTCTCCCCAGTTTACATTTATCTTAGTTTCGGTCCTCCAACCTCTGCTCAGCCTGTTTTCTCACCATTTTGTAAATAAAGCTCACTCTCATCATCTGCGTTTGGGCACTTTTCCCTTCAACCCTACAAGACTGTCATCGCAGCTGTGACAGGCGCACTCGTGTAATTGAAGGAAGGACGAATGGAAAAATGACATTCTTCATAAACATCTGTTGCCATCTACCAGAGTGATGAAGATGAAGCGAGGGTCAACAGAGTCAAGCAAGACAATGATTGCAAAAACACACAAAAGGAAACTCAGCTGGTTTCACAAAAACGACATAAAGCTGCTAGAATGGTCCAGCCAATCACCTGAATCCAACTGAAAAATTATGGAAAGAATCCCAAAAGGTTGATTTTGTTCATCTGGACATAATGTTTTCAGTGGGGGAAACTTTTTGTAACTCGTTCAAGTGATTTCTTCAGTCTCAGCTGACTGCAGGTTTATAAACACTATATTTGCATAATGACTGAAACTAGCACCACTGAAGGAACAATGGGCTGGGAGGTGTTGAAATCTCCCAATTCTTTGAATCTTTGGGCTGAAGGAAGGACAATACTCGGTGTATAAATGCTCAATCAACAATCATTTATTTCCATACAATTCAACACTTAAGAGCATTTGAACCATCATGATGGGGAGAGCTGCCTGCAGAGGGTCACAGCAAGTCTCAAAATGGTGACGGGTTGCTCAGCTTTTTATAGTCTCTAGTGGCCCCCACCTAGTCGTAAAAGTCTAAACATTCACATTCTTTCTCTCTTACTAAATTATGACCTCGGCTCCCTGTCTTCTCTGCTCCCTGCAAAGGTGGGGGTATGGAATGTTGTCTATCTCCCTAGACACCAAGTCTCCTGCTTACAACCTTCTCTTGATGATTCAGCAGTAAAGCATGTCAAGAAAACAGTATAAGACATTCACAGCCGATCAAGGATACAGAATGATGCACACTTATCTAATGAACTACAAAATGATTATGTTCTTCTAACTCAAAAGTATAATGAGGACTAAACTACATACTGATCACACACTCTATATTAAAGGGTATAATATGATCTACAGCGGTATCATAATTCAACTACTTTGATTACATATATATGGTAACATATAATAACAGAATAATCTCAACAGAGGTCAGTTCCTTGATCATTAATATGCAAATTCTCATGGCCATTGATCAACAACCACTGATCAATGCCCATGAGTACCATTCACAGAGAGTTGGGGAATAGCTGCAATCACAGCATTTTAAGATGGCGACAGATGTCCCCTTAGGCCCCCTCCTCGATTCAGAGATGGTCATACCCTTTTCACGTAAATGGCCTCCTTTACTCTGCCTTCAAACCAGCGTTCCTCCCTGTCCAGGATGTGTACAGAGGATGGCCCGTAGGTGTGAATAGACTGCAGAGTCCTGGCTTGACGAGGTAGCTCTTCTGTGTTGTGCCATCCGCTTCACTAGAGGTTGTTTGGTTTCCCCGATGTATAAATTTTGGCACATAACAGCGAACACTATGTTCCTTTGTTTGTGTCGGGGGACCCGATCCTTGGGGTGGACCAAT